CGCCCATTCTCTCTCCGAAAATCAGGTGTGCGTGAGCCTGCGGGGCGCGCTTCACACTTTCCCTAGACGACCCCACGACATAATCCTACCAAAATTATAACTGGCGCGTACATTAACTTAATGTGTGACGACAAAGAAGTGGAATACCAGTGTCGAAGGAGTGCACAAAATTTGTCAATATGATGGAACTGGGGTGTTCATCTGATCTATCGGGTATATCGGGCACATACTTGTCCCGAAAGTGCCTTGAGGCTCGTACTTGAGTGATATGAGGCTGTCGCTTAGCGACCCAGACATATGATGGAGTCGATCCGACAAAGCAAAGGGAGACCGGAAAGGCCATTTCTGGCTTGTTAGCCGTCATCAGCCAGTCATACCTAACCTCAAGGGTCGGAAGCCTCGAGATTCGAACCCGGGACCTTTGGTCGTTGAGCTGAACACTCTACCTCGGCACCACCGGCTCTTTGCTTTGTCTTTTTAGATCGGGAATATGATGAACTTATGTGCTTCGCCGATCTAGTAGAGGGAAAATTAAGTTCCGCTTTGTCCTGGAGCTCACATTTAGAGCCCGCGCAGGCAGTCACACAGCGACTATAACGATAGGATGAAATGGATCCGACAAATCAAAGGGAGACCGGAATGGCTATTTCTGGCTTATTAGTCATCATCAGCCAGTCATGCCTAATCTCAAGGATCAGAACCCCTGAAATGACCATTCCGGTCTCCCTTGTCTTTGTCGGATCCACTCCATCATAGGTCTAAGGTCGCTAAGCGACAACCTGACATCACTCAAGTACGAGTACTCAAGGCACTTCCGGGACAAGCATATGCCCTAATCAGGTAGATCGGATGAACACCCCAATTCCATTATATTCACGATCACAACCGACAAAGCAACAAGCCCGTGGTGCAATGGAAAACTCAATAACCGAAGGTTCCGGGTTCGAATCTCGGGGGTTCCAACCCTTGAGATTGGGTATGACTGGCTGACGGCGGCTAAAAAGGCAGAAATGGCCATTCCAGTCTCCCTTTGCTTTGTCAGAACACAGGTGCGACGTCATCGAGTCAGGCGTTGTGTTTCTTTGTCTCGAGTCAGGCGTTATAGTTGGCAAACTTCTTTGGTATTGACTGTGTATCCACTGTTGAGTAGCGCCAGATATTTCTATCATTTGGAATCGACGTACGCCTTATGACGGCTTACGGAGTCAAAGAATACTCAAACAAACAGTATTAGAAGTGGCAGTAGTACTTTAGT